ACTAAATCATAATTACATGTATCTCCCCTTGAAAGAGGACGTGACACTTCAACTGAACAAACTTGAATTCGATACATGATAAGTTTGTTTGAAATTGACCAAGTGATTCTTGAGAAGAAGATGAAAATGTACAAGTTTACAACAATTAACAACAATGGACACATTTTGATAAGAAAAACTCACTTGGTGAGCTAGAAATATTGTAAAAACCAAATCATGCTAGGAACTTTCCACCCTCAGCCAATTTAAAACTTTCATTGAGACATGGACGGGTGAAAAATGCAAATGCAGTTCCTGCAGAAACCACAGCGTGGGGCTGCATAGCTGATGAGACGATATTTATCTTTTATTTATTCACTTAAACCCCTGTCACACCGGGGCTGCGTCCTCACGGCGACCGCACGGCGTCCTCAAAAAATGCAAAACGTCGAGGTGACCACAGTAGAGTCTCCTACAGCGCCGTGTCAACGCGGCGAGATCTCCACTGAACGCCGTAGGGTCGCGTAGGGTCTCCTAGAACGCCAGAGGACGGCGATCACTTTAAGCATGCACAAAGTACGCGCCGTGTGATCGAGGTCTGATAAGAACGCAGTAGAAACGTAGTATGATCGCCGTAGCAGCGCGGTGAGATCTCCAACAACGTAGTAGGAGCTCCGTACGAACGCCGTGAAGACACACATGATCGCGGCACGAACGCAGTGATAGTAGACTGCGCTTCCACGGAGATGTCGCGGAGTCCTTGGAGATGTCACTGCGTTTCTATCTCGTTTTTACGGCGCTTCTAATGAGATTTATTGTCTTGTGATTTTTTCGACTGCGATTACACGGCGACAGCACGGAGTTGTCACTGCGATCATTGCGCACCCATGGCATTTCTACAATGTCCGTTTGCGATCACAATGCGCTTTCACGGCGTTGTTAGAGCGTTGTCAGCCAGCTCACAAAACAAAAGCAATGGGATCATATTTGATCAGCAATAATTCCAACGTATTTGTTGCACTAGGAGCATTTAAGTGAAAAAAAAATGGAAGAGAAAATTACACCAGAACTTGTTCTGTTGTTTCACTTAAATTTTGTAGAAAACTTTTCAGTGTGTTTATTTTTTTTTTACATTCATAAATCTAACAACACATCTGAACCGATAAAATTGAAAAAAGGAGTTAAATCATAAAACTATTAATAATTTAGTACTAAATTATTTAAACAGAACATTTTTGATTATTAAGAATATTTCTTGGCATGATTAGAAGTCTTTTCATCGTGTAACTTGAATCTTCAAAAATGTTTTACATTCCTTCTAAATATAATATCAATGAGTATAGAACGCAATGTGAACGCAGTCAGCGCAGTGAGAACGCTGTGAACACGAGGTTAAAACTCCTAACGCGCCGTGAAAACTCCACTGAAGCACAGTCAATCGCATGGAGATCTCCGTGGGAACGCAGTAGAACGCCGTGAGATCGCCGTAGAATCGCGTCCGTCGCCGTAGGGATGCCGTGACATCTTCATATTATGAAAATTTTACAGAAATTTGTGCAATTTTCCTGCGATTCCACGGCGATTTAAAAAATTTAACAACGCCGTAATGACTCCGTGTGAACGCAGCTTGGTGTGACAGGGCCTTTAGTTTAGAAACAGCTGAATTTTCATTTGTTTTTGAAATCTTTCATCTGCTTTAATGATACCAACTCATTTTATTTCATTGTTTTCTAGTGTTTCTTTTATTTATTTTTTTTCTTACCCTCACAACAATGCATATCTTGCCTATGTAGGTAGGGACTGACCCAATCTCTAGGCAGGATGTGTATTGATGAGGAACATAAATTATTTTTAAATTATTATTATTATTATCTTTTTTTTTTAATTAATTTTTTTTTCTCCTTCTTCTTTCTCAATTTGGTTTAGCTATTTCTGTGCGAATTTTTAATTTTCTAAACTTTCAAATTTATTTATTTATTGTTTTGTATTCATTTATTTTTATTATTATTAATAATACAATTAGTTTTTTTTTATCTGAATTTATGGATTAAACTTAGTGCTTAATTTTTATTACTATCATATAACTTTTATTTATTTATTTATAATACTCACGTTATATTTATTTTTGTTCCTCTTAATGCAATCATATTGCTTTTCAATTTGTCTATTTTTTTCTTTAACTTATTCTAATGAAATTATAAATTCTTAAAATTTGTTAAATTCTTAAAATTTGTTAAATTCTTAAAATTCGTTTTATCTGTCATATGTATGTGTATATATGTACATGTGTTTTTGCATGTTAATTTATGTTGTAAATGTTTTCTTGTGATATTTAAACTGTGATAGTCGGTTTAAGAGCTCTACAGAGCTCATGTTTCTTTGTTATGTAATGTATACAATGCCGACTTTAAATAAAATTTACTTTACTTTACTTTAACTTTTTGTCCAGAAACTGCCGAACGAAGTTAAAAAATCCGAATTATAAAGATTAAATATATTTATCTAAATATATTTTTTCAAATTATTGTCACATATGTGCCTTTGGATATAAGGCAACATGCAGGTATCTTTGTTACATATTTTAGCAATTTTTCATTAAAAATGTAGGCCATGGAAATATTCCGGAAATGTAAAGTGTTTAAATTTAACTATGAGCACACGCAACGCGATTGACGAAATAGGTTTTTTTCGACTAGTCATAGCAATTGCATTGAACATATACAAATATTATTCATCGCGTTGCCTGTGCTCATATTAAAACATTTACAAATGTGCATAAAAATTTTTAGTTTTTTGCCAAAAACTGAAATCCGGGTAAAATTTGGAATTTATAATTCTGATATGTGACATTTTGGCGCCATTTCCTATGCATGATTCAAGTAAGGGGGTTGTCTCAAAATAACTTCGCAGGGTAATGACAGATTACCAGCCACTTCATTTTTCTTAATTTTCTTGGGCCAAATTTATATACAAAGTATATTTTGTTCTTTGAGCAGATGATAAAAATCAGGTTTCCTTTTTTTTTGTAGGTTTTTTGTGAATTTCGACCCTAGGGCAGGGGTGCCCCTAAAAATATCCTATTTTAAATTATTTCTTACATTCTAACCTATCAAAATGTCAGAATTTTATTTAGGGGCAGGCCTGCCCTGAAGGACTTCTAGGCCAAAATTCATGCCAAAATCAATGCTTTAACGTACGAAATGGTGTTTCGATCAACTTTGGAGGTTTATTGTAAAGTTCTGAACAATAAATTTTAGGTATAAAATACAAATTTGAAAAATTTAGACATATATACGGTAGAAAACAACAAATAAAGATTTATATTTAAATGTCACTTTTTCCGGAAAATTTTTCTCTCCGTTAGGTCAATTCTTTTCTCTTAGTGAATACATCCTTTCTGTGAAATACTTTCAAAATGCTACTCCTTCTACAGTTTTGGTCAGATTTCAATTTAACTTTGCACAAAAGTAGATTATACTAAGATACATAATTCTATATACTGGTTTTTGATTTTGATGAACAATGTTGCCGTGGTTACTAAAAATAGAAATTTTTGTGAAATACTTTCAAAATGCTACTCCTCCTACAGTTTTTGTCTGATTTCAATATAACTTAGCACACAAGGAGACTACACTAAGATACATAATTCCTTGTATTGGTTTTTGATTTTGATGAACAGTGTTGCCATGGTTACTAAAAATAGAAATTTCTGTGAAATACTTCCAAAATGCTACTCCTAGCTCCTACAGTTTTGGTCTGATTTAAATATAACTTGGCACACAAGTAGAGTACACTAAGATACATAATTCTGTTTATCAGTTTTTGATTTCGATACACAATGTTGCCTTGGTAACTAAAAATAAAAATTTCTGTGAAATACTTTAAAATTGCTTCTCCAAATACATTTTTAGTCAGATTATAGTATAATTTGGCATGCAAGTAGACTACACTGAAATACATAATTATCAGTTTTGTGTTTCTGATTTTGATGATTGATGTTGCCATAGTAACTAAAATTCAATATTCTGTAAAGTTTTATTAAACGCTACTCCTACAACTCTAGTCTTATTGCAGTCTTGCCACAAAAAGAGACTTATTCAAGGATCATTATTCTTTTTATTGCTTTTGTAAAGTTTAAAGTCCCAACTGCTAATTTTCTCTTCCTTTTCTAGTATTAGAGCGTTCGCTTCATGATCCGGAGGCCCGCGTTCGATTCTCGTTCGCGGCGCCTCGTCATACCTAGGATGTAAACAAAGGTAGTGACTGTTCCTTCGCCAAGCGCTTGGTACTAGAAGTGAAAGTCACGGGTCTTTCGGATATGACCTTAAAAATGTAGGTCCCGTGTCACGGTAGGCGCTGGCATGATAAAGAACCCTCACTGCTCAATGGCCCTGAGTGCCGAGTATAGGTCTAAATTTGAAGCCCTTCACCGGCATATGGTGACGTCTCCATATGAGTGAAAAATTCTCGAGAGGGACATTAAACAATATACAATCAATCAATCAATCTAGTATTAGAAGTACAAACCAGTAGAGCTACAGTCTCAACAGAGACTTCTGGTTTCAAAATGAGTTTTGGTCCATTGATAAAATTGTTCAAATTAAAAAATTATAATGATACTTCTTGAAAAGTTATTGTTTTTTATTCATTTAATCACTTCAATGAAAATTCAGCATTATAAAGATAATTTATTTAGCAGGAAAAACATTCTGAAAAATTATGCAAGAATGGTAATGAATCAAATGGCAATAATTCAAGATTCATCTGTGAATTAAGTTGCACCTTATCTGACAAGACAATAGAAGTAAAAAATAATCTTTTGAAATCTTGCTTGCTCCGAGCCCTTTCCATATGCTAAACTCTCAGTTGCAAAATTTTTAACTGTAAATAGTTGTAAAAGAAGTGACTTCAGTGAACCTTGCTCTTAGAATTTTATTTTTCTGACTATCGTGAAATTAGGATAAGTGAATCAGAAATCCAAGAAATTTTTTAAAAAATGATGCTAAAACAGATAAAATCATATGAATTATTATTATTATACTTTTCAATCCATTTTTAGGTGGTTAGCAGTTCGTTTGGAGTTTGTTGGCAACTGTGTTGTCTTTTTCGCTTGCTTGTTTGCAGTTTTAGAAAGGGACACACTAAGTGCTGGAATAGTTGGACTGTCAGTGACCTATGCTTTAAATGTGAGTACATAAAACAGAGGTGATACTGTAAATGTATCACATTTGGCTGTGTATTCTTTTTAGCTCACCTGAGCCGAAGGCTCAAGTGAGCTTTTCTGATCACATTTTGTCCGGCGTCCGTCTGTCTGTGTGTAAACTTTTCACATTTTCGACTTCTTCTCAAGAACCACTGGGCCAATTTCAACCAAACTTGCCACAAAGTATCCTTGGGTGAAGGGGATTCAAGTTTGTTCAAATGAAGGGCCACGCCCTCATTCAAGGGGAGATAATTGGGAATTAATGAAAATTTGGTGGCATATTTTAAAAATCTTCTTCTCAAGAACCACTGTGCCAGAAAAGATGAAACTTATGGGGAAACATCCTCAGGTAGTGTAGATTCAATTTTGTTCAAATCATGACCCCCGGGGGTAGGGCGGGGCCAAAATGGCCAACCAAAGTTTTACATAGAAATATATAGGAAAATTCTTTAAAAATCTTCTTCTCAAGAATGACAAAGCCATAATTCATCATATTTTTATGGGAGCATGCTCAGGTAGTGTAGATTCAAGTTTGTTCAAATCATGACCCCCGGGGGTAGGACGGGGCCAAAATGGCCGACCACACTTTTACATAGAAATATATAGGAAAATTCTTTAAAAATCTTCTTCCCAAGAATAACAAAGCCATAATTCATCATATTTAAATGGAAGCATGTTCAGGTAGTGTAGATTCAAGTTTGTTCAAATCATGACCCCCCGGGGTAGGGCGGGGCCAAAATGGCCGACCAAAGTTTTACATAGAAATATATAGGAAAATTCTTTAAAAATCTTCTTCTCAAGAATGACAAAGCCATAATTCATCATATTTATATGGAAGCATGTTCAGGTAGTGTAGATTCAAGTTTGTTCAAATCATGACCCCCGGGGTAGGGCGAGGCCAAAATAGCCGACCAAAGTTTTACATAGAAATATATAGGAAAATTCTTTAAACATCTTCTTCTCAAGAATGACAAAGCCATAATTCATCATATTTATATGGAAGCATGCTCAAGTAGTGTAGATTCAAATTTGTTCAAATCATGACCCCCAGGGGTAGGGCGGGGCCAAAATGGCCGATCGAAGTTTTTAAAGATATATATAGAAAATTCTTTAAAAATCATTTTCTAAAAAATAGCAAAACCATGATTTATTTAAACTTTACAATAAAAAACCATTTTCTACTTTTTCCTACCCTTAGTGCTCAGGTGAGCGATGTGGCCCACGGGCCTCTTGTTAGCGATTTTGGCAGAGAAGAGCTTTCGCTAATTTAAGTACAAAGCTAAAATGAGTTGCACATTTATACATTAATAAGAACATTAAGAAATGCACTAATTCATTTCTAGGCTAACTTGTTCGAAAATTCAATTTCTGCCAAATATTGTTCACGCTAAGTTCATTTACAGTATCTTTGAGAACTTCATTCCTAATTCTCCAAAAAGTTCTATAAAGAAACTATAGCAATTAAACTAAAGTAAAAGGTATGAATACAATTTTTAGCTCACCTGAGCTGAGGGCTAAAGTAAGCTTTTCTGATCATATTTTGTCCATCCTGTGTCCATCCGTCCATCTATAAATTTTTAACATTTTCGACTTCTCCTCAAGAACTACTGGTCCAGTTGTAACCAACTTTTGTACAAAGCATCTTTGGCTGAAGTGGAAGTTTAAATTGTTTAAATGAATTGCCAAGTCCTCTCACAAGGGGAGAAAATCAAGGAGAGACAAAGAAGGGTGGGGTCATTTAAATATCGATCTTTTTCTCAAGGACCACTGGGCCAGAAAATCTTAAACTTTTGTGGAAGCAGCCTGGGGTAGTGTATACATAGATTCTAAATTGTTCAAATCATGACCCCTGGGTGTTTAGCAGGGCCACAATGGGGGATCAAAGTTTTACATAGAAATGTATAGGAAAAATCTTTTAAAATCTTTTTCTCAAGAACCACTGGGCCAAAAAAGCTGAAACTTATGTGGAAGCATTCTGGGGGAAGGATAGATTTTACATGGTTCAAATCTTGACCCCTGGGTGTAGGCGGGGCCACAATAGGAAACCCAAGTTCCCTATTTAAAATATGTAGGAAAAATCTTTTAAAGTCTTCTTTTCAAGAACCATTGGGCCAGAAAAGCTGAAACTTATGTAAAAACATCATGTGGTAGTGAAGATTCTAAATTGTTCAAATTATGACCACAGGGGGTAGGGCTGGGCCACAATAAGGAAACCAAAGTTTTAAATCGAACTGTATAGGGAAATTTTGGAGCAGTGTAGATTCTGATTTGTTCAAATCATGACCCCCCATGGGTAGGATAGGAAAAATCATTAAAAATTTTCTCGGGAATAACTGGGCCAAAAAAGCTGAAACTTGTGCAAAAGCATCGTGGGGTAGTTGTAGATTTTAATTGTTCAAATTATGACCCGTGGGGTAGGATTGGGTCACAAAAGGTTTTACAAGGGTGAGATCTGGTAAAGAACAGCATGGTCAAAGCTATACAGGTGAGCAATGTGGCCCATGGGTATCTGTTGATGTTGTGCGAAGTAAATCCAAACTAATTTCTACGGGCGCAAAAATGACATAAATTTTAGTCACCTGAGTAAACTCAGGTGACCTATTGCTATCCATTTTTGTCCGTCGTCATTTGTCGAGCGATGTGGCCCATGGACCTTTTGTTATATATTTGCAACAAACTGCAGAGTGACAGTTGTTTCATTTAGAATTTTTATAGTCTAAAGAATAATTTATACTGTAGCATATTCAATCAATCATAATATATGCAATGAACAAAGCTGCAGATGGATATCTGTTAATTAAGCTCTGACATAGCCAGTTTAGAATTATACATGTATGATGTATTATAGGGCTGAAACGATACGCCCCCTCCACGATATGATACGTATTGCAATACTTGTGTCATAATTCAGTTTTTTTCAATACGATACAATTTAAGAAAGAAACTGTTCATCAGGTTTCAAAAAATGTATTCAGATTTCAAAAAAAGTAAAAGGTGGTGATACAATAGAGAAATACTACCAGGGGTGTGCAATTTAAATATTCAAGTACTAGCCCAAAGGCTAATGGCAGCATTAAAGTTACTGGTACTAGCCCCAAGTAAGAAGTTGCATGCCCAAATATAGGGACAAAAATTAAAATAAAACTGATGTTGTAAAAAAATTAATCATTGAAAAAGTCCGGGTACTGAGGCCATTCTTTTTAAAATTAAAGTTTAATTCTCACTATTAAAATTAAATCATATAAAATAAAATCAATGATTATGAAAGAAAATAAAAATGAATTTTAAAAAAATTATCTGATGATCTTTCCTTTTCTGATCATTTTGCACTAGCTCATTTAGAATAAAATTAAATTCATTTTGTTTTCATATTAAATCATTAAATATACTAAAAATGAGCCTCATCGGATAGAAATCGACCTTATCATATGCAACGTCATAATGAGAAATTAGCGAATGAACTTGAGAAAGATTTCCCGGTAATTTTTCTACACATGGCTTTCACGTTGAGAAATGTTTTAGACATCGTCAACTGCAGTTCAAAGACTTTTTCTTCAAAAAATCGAATCATTTTAAATATGTACTTATAAAATAAACACATTTTAATTGTATTCCCCTTCATGGAGCCTTAACTTTTTTATATGTTACCATGGATCAATGTAAACACAAGCAAGAGGAATGCAGAGTCCGATCTACATTTATTTTTTCAAACAGCAGAAGATGTAAGGTTATATCTAACACCAGATAAAAATTAAGTTGGTATACATATAGCAAAGCAAATTTGACATGGTGCATTACTGAGGAAGTACAGAATATATCTTTGACTTTTATTGTAGTTTAGAGTATAAATTTTAGTCAAAGGAGGCGTATCTGCCTAATCTGGCACAGAGAATCGCACATGTACTGAGTTGTGAACTTCATTTAATACCCGCACCTCAGATCTCCATACATTTTCCATATTCAAAATAAGGAGAAAATGCGGACGGGAGTCTTTGGACTAATTTTCCGTGTTCATTCCAGATTTCCGTAGTAGATTCAAATTTCCAGATTTTCTCCGTATTCAAATTAGCACCATGTGTATTCAGTCATTCAAGATTAAATTCACAATATTATATTAGATATGCTTAACTATAATGTTTCATGTCTTCGAATTTTACGTGTTATGATGTCAAATTTATATCGGTATATGGAATTAACCAACCAAAACAAAAACAACATAACCCTTACAGAAATTTCTGATAAGTGACTTATAAGTGATTTATTCTTTTACTTATAAGTTGTTTATTCTGGACTTACACTTCACTGATACATTTAACTTATAAGTGACTAATATGTTACTCATTAGGATTTTATACGCAAATGAGCTGTTTGACCTATAAGTGACTTATAAGCCAGTATTAGCCACTTATGCTTTATGCAAGTATATAGTCACTTATAAGTGACTATAAGTGACTTATAAGTCAAGCATTAACCCTTCATACTTTATCAAGTATTAGTCACTTATAAGTGACTATAAGTGACTTATAAGTGAAGTACAACACTACCTGTAAGATCTTAATTTAGAACAGAACTTCCAACCATGCAGAGGTTGCATGATATGTTCAAAGCTATTTTTTTTTACATATACACATGTATCTGCACTTTAGATGAAATAATCAAGAAAAAATTTTATGGAAAAAATCCCTTTCATATGACAGTTCTTTGATGATGCAAACTTAACATATTAATTCAGTTTACAAACAAAAATGTTGAACAAAAAGGCAACAAGATTTAATGACCTTGAGGCTTCTTCAAATTTATGAAATCTGAAAGCAACTGAGTCAATTGATTCAAAATTTCAGGCAAAGGAAGTTAAAATAGAGAGATGATGTAAATAGAACCTACTTGTTGTACCTGATGTGAAGGCATACTCAAAATAAATCTAAAATCTCCAACATCCTTTCACAGACACAAACTTGGTTTCAAATTCTTGTTGCTGATCTC